AAAACCTTGCATATCCAGCTATAATCGTTTAGGAAGGAATGCTGATGAATCAGATGCAGAGGCAATCATTGATATGGCTGGGAAGGCCTCCCTTGCTGATCAACAGAACTAGGTTCAAGAAAACATTTATTCTCAAATTAAAACCTTCTGTGCATCAATGGATGAAATTCTTCTTCCTGATTCAAAGAGCATAAATGAATCATCTGAATCAACTTCACAAAGGAATACTGCTGTGACCCATAGTGGCCTTGGCCTTGCTGTTGGAAGGATGAGCCCACAAAATAAAAGTCCTGGTGAGTATTTATCTGCATCTTTATTTCAAACTGTCAGAAATTTGTTTTTATCAACTCCGGGACATTTTAAATTTCACTTTATTAGTGTTTGGAATTACTACAGCTTTTTACTCTATTTGAGCTAACAATGAGTTTGCTTAAATTTACCCATCTAAGACATTGTTTATTTTTTTTTATTTCTTATTTTTCTTTCGTAGTTTTGTGTTATTGATTTAAATTGAATTTATTTGGCATCTGGAAAAAAAAAAGTGAGTGAACTGCGAATAAATTGGTTCCTTTAAGTGCTCCTTGCCGAAAGTATATAGTGGTAGGTCTTGAAAAATCATCTTATTATGGGCAATAAAGGTAGTACACAATGCATAATAAAATAGTTATTATGAAAAATAACTATGGTCTTGTTGCATAAGTAACTTGACATGGAAGAGCTTGACAGGTCTAGGTATGTGAATCCTAGTAGTCAACTATGGCAAAACTATGAGATCATTCTTAGAAATCTAGGAAGCGTGTTGACAAAAGATCTTTGACTTGTGCTTAATGCCTTGTCCCATCTCACTTCCCCATTACCATTGACATTTGGCACTATCAAAAGCAAGGCCTCCAATCTGGCTTTCACCTCTGCTGTTCCCAGCAATACTATAACAATCACATCTCTCAGATAACATCTCTTTCCTTGTATTTTCACTATATCAATCATGACTATATTCAGGGGAAAAAAGAAGAAAAAAGAAAAGAAAAAGAAAAAGAGAACAAGTTAGTGACTGTGAAAAATGATTAGAGGTATGTGGGAACTAGGAAAGAAGGATAGTGGTATCAAAGAGCCTCATAAGGCGACTCAGAACTCATTTTTTCATTTGATGTGACCCCTTGTGTGTTTGTGTGTGTATGTGTGCGTGTGCATCTGAAATAAATAGTTGGGATGTTAGCATTGTATGATCTTACAAACTTTATTTTTTAATGAGCATTTAGTCATCTTTTATGCATATCTTGGTTGTTTTATTATATGCGAATTTCTTTATATTGTGGTTTAGTCATTTCGATATGATATACAGAACCGCAGATTCTTTACCAAATAATGATACTGATGTTGTTCTGTCCTTTTATGTGACATGTTATTGATGATTAACCATCCAAATGAAATTATTGTTATATTGTTTTTTCCTTTGATGAGGTTTCCAGGACCTCTTGGAGCATTGAAGTTATTAAGATCTATTGATGATCAACCAATGCTTTGTCCACCCACCCCCCCTCAACACACACACACACACTAAAACTGTCTGACAAAACTTTATCTGTGGTTTAAACGTTCTAGTACTAAAATAACTATATTGCCTCTCTGAATTTATCTTGATTGCATTCAATGGAAATAGCAGAAGATTACATAATTATATCTGTTTTTGTGCCTGTATCAAATTTTAATCACTGTAGTCTGTACCTAGCTTGGTCATCTGGTGAATTTATACCTATATTATTTTGTGTGGAACTCCCAATAATTTTGAGTAACTTTTAATGCTGGAATCTGATTATCATGAATTTTCAGCACAGCTGTTCCTGATACAAAACCGTTAAAACCTGCTGAGTTGTCTCAGAGTCTGAAGAATCTCATAGGCTACGCTCTTGAGCTCAAACCATCTCAAATTCTGCATAAGGACGCTGGCCAAGGTTTATTCATAGATGGTCAAGACGATGTAGGTACTGTAATAGCATTCTACCCTGGAATAATTTACTCTCCAGCTTACTACCGTTATATTCCTGGATATCCAAGAGTCGATACACACAACCCGTACTTGATCACAAGGTACGACGGAACTGTTATCAATGCACAGCCTTGGGGTGTTGGGGGCGAAATCGGTGAAGTGTGGGACCTCTCGAGTGTTATTAAATCTAGGTCAAATGTGAAAGATGATGCTAATAATAAAGGTTCTGACCAAATTTGGAAGATGCTCAATAAACCTTTGCAAGCCACACGAGTGGCCAGTAGTGGCGATGTGTTGGAGCGGAGAAACCTACTAGCTTTTGCCCATTTTGCGAACCACTCTGCAAAAAGAGATGGTCCCAAATGCAATGGTTTGCCCTTATGATTTTCCGTTAACTGAGAAGGATATGAGAACCTATATACCAAACATAAAGTTTGGAAGTGGAGAGGAAGCGAAGATGAAGAGGTTTGGAAGTTTTTGGTTTAAATCTTGGGGATCTAGCAACGGTGAATCAGATATTCTGGTTCTTAAGGCTCTTGTCCTTGTGGCCACCAGGCCACTTTGTGATGAAGAGGTGCTCTTGAACTACCGGTTAAGCAACTCAAAGCGGCGACAATCCTGGTATACTCCAGTAGATGAGGAAGAGGATTGGAGAAGGTGGAGCTGAATTAGAGAATTGGATATTGAAGCAACTTCTTGTTCTTCTTTTTTTTTTATTTTGAATTCAGGTTTACAACCATATGCCATTGTGGCATTACATGATCATTTCTTTAGTAGCTGTCTCACTTGAGTTTCTTTGTTCCTTGGACATTTTCCTCTCTTTTTGGATGTCATTATAAAGCTTTTTCAAAGCTGCAATTTTACCTTTTTGATTGTAACCTAACAATGAAGTGAACTATGCTGAAATCATGTTGACGTTCTTCCTCTCTCTCTCTCTCTCTCTCTCACACACACACACACACACACACGGCATGGTGACAATATTATCAGGCCAAATTTATAAGTGGAAGCATGTTCTGAATTATGGTTGCTTGTAATTTGAAGCATATTTCCTAGAAGTAAACTCAAAGTAACATATTTATCGCATATATTGGTTGATTTTAAAAGGCTGAGTGTTATGATCCTACATCCCTTAAGAGTTGGTTTGATCATGTGAATATAAGCTCTTAGGTATTCTCTCCTTGCAAGCTAGTTTTCAAGGGTTAATTCTACTTATGGATTTTTATTATTTGGTACAAAATTTGGCTACCATGTCGAGTATAGGATCATATGAGTTACTGTTTAATGATTCAAGCCTCAGAGGGGGCAACCTATATGCTAACAGAGAGGGTGAACTATAGGCTAGATGATGACACTAGTATTGTAACAGTACCAACACACTTTTTACAATACACTCTTGAGTTGAAACCATCTCAAATTCCGCATAAGGACGCTGGCCAAGGTTTATTCATAGATGGTCAAGCCGATGTTGGTACTGTAATAGCATTCTACCCTGGAATAATTTACTCTCCAGCTTACTATTGTTATATTCCTGGATATCCAAGAGTCGATACACACAACCCGTACTTGATCACAAGGTACGACGGAACTGTTATCAATGCACAGCTTTGGGGTGTTGGGGGTGAAATCCGTGAAGTGTGGGACCTCTCGAGTGTTATTAAATCTAGGCCAAATGTGAAAGATGATGCTAATAATAAAGGTTCTGACCAAATTTGGAAGATGCTCAATAAACCTTTGCAAGCCACACGAGTGGTCAGTAGTGGCGATGTGTTGGAGCGGAGAAACCCACTAGCTTTTGCCCATTTTGCAAACCACCCTGCAAAAGAGATGGTCCCTAATGTAATGGTTTGCCCTTATGATTTTCCATTAACTGAGAAGGATATGAGAACCTATATACCAAACATAAAGTTAGGAAGTGGAGAGGAAGCGAAGATGAAGAGGTTTGGAAGTTTTTGGTTTATAGGTTCCAATCCTCTTCCTCTCCAATCCTTTCTTTTTGGATGTCATTATAAAGCTTTTTCAAAGCTGCAATTTGACCTTTTTGATTATAACCTAACAATGAAGTGGACTATGCTGAAATCATCATGTTTACATTCTTCTCTCTCTCTCTCTCTCTCTCTCTCACACACACACACACACACGGCATGGTGAAAATATTATCAGGCCAAATTTATAAGTGGAAGCATGTTCTGAATTATGGTTGCTTGTAATTTGAAGCATATTTCCTGGAAGTAAACTCAAAGTAACATATTTATCGCATATATTGGTTGATTTTAAAAGGCCGAGTGTTATGATCCTACATCCCTTAACAGTTGGTTAGATCATGTGAATATAAGCTCTTAGGTATCCTCTCCTTGCAAGCTAGTTTTCAAGGGTTAATTCTACTTATGGATTTTTATTATTTGGTATAAAATTTGGCTACCATGTCGAGTATAGGATCATGTGAGTTACTGTTTAATGATTCAAGCCTCAGAGGGGGCAACCTATATGCCAACAGAGAGAGCGAACTATAGGCTAGATGAAGACACTAGTATTGTAACAGTACCAACACACTTTTGACAAGTACACAAGCCAAATTTAAGCGTAAACTTGTGTATGGTGAGGTATGGGGAGCTTGAGTTCCAACACATCTTGGAGATGACTTTTTTTCTTGAAACACCATACAAAGTGAGTACTAAACTTTTTCAGTGGTTAGATTTATGATTGTGATTACAATATTCTTTTTTCTAGTTTTATTAGTGTGAAAAATATTTAAATGTAAAAAGTAAAAAAGGTAAAATTAAAAATTTAACTACTTCAGTTGCTTATATAAATCAATCGGTTATATAAATCAGCCAACTTGATTGAATTTAGTACATTATCAAATAACCTTTAATTTTTAATATTCAGTTTTATGAAATATCACCTAAGACAAGTTTGATATGTAGAAAATATTCAGTATTGGAAGAGTGTCACTTGGGGTGGTTTAAGGAAAAGCAAATCAAGCAAGATTTCTTAGGGGGGTTTAACCACGTTAAAATGGGCTAATATATTGTTTGATCTCATATTCATTTTTTTTATTAGTCCATCATAATAACAATGTAAAAAGGTTTAAAATTGAATGGAACAAAAGAATCATTAGGATTTGATAGAGCTTTTATCCGTATCTAGGCCCGTTTGAAGAGGGGTTCAAATAGTTACAAAAATTATTATAAGTTGTTAAATTATTTTTTTACACTTTTATTTATTTATAAAATGTCAAAAAATCAACTCCAAAACAACCCCCTATATTTAAACACCATAAGAAAATGCTGCCCATAAATGATTTTTTAACTAAGCTTTTTTATCAATACAGACAAGGACAATGAATTTCGCATGTATTTATTAACATAAATTTATGATTTTTGTGTTAGTAATAAGAAAATTTGATTAAAAAAATAAACTTGGGTAAATTATACAGCTAGTCTTGGTATTTTAACCCTTATGTCATGTTGGTCACTCTAATTTGAATTGGTTCAATTTTAATCATGAATTTTTGACTTTGTCTCAAATTGGTCTAATAAATTTCAATTGTATGTATGTATGTAATTTTTTTTTTATTTTTTATTTTTAATGAAAAAAGCACACATGAGTAGGTGTCATGCTTTTAGAAATAAAATTATAAATTTAATTAATTCAGTGACTCAATCTGAACTAACTCAATGATCATTTCTCATAAAAAATCCTAATAGTATTATCAATTGAACTAAATTGATATAAAATTTAAAACTAAAACGATAGAAACCAAATGATACAAACATCAAAATATAAAAACTACGGGTATAATTTGTCTAAAAATCTTTTATGTATAAATATTACCCAAGTTCACAATACTTGAATAAAAGCATGACAATAGATATGCAAATATGATGCAACAAAAGCATGGAATAAATATGCAAACATGCATGCACAAAGGCCTATCGTCTAAGGCATAAAAGAGGCAACTCTTAAACACATTTAAAATAGACTAATATGGACAAATGACAAGCATGCTAGGCTTTGAAATCATATTAAGAGTGGTGCCAAACCAATCAAACTACCCAAGTAAAGCATGCAAGGTCCTCAAACATGAGCAAAATGGGGCAAACATGAGAGCATGACAATGCAATGAACTCTGAAATCATGTGAAGAATGATGCCAAATCATATACACAAGTGAAGCATAGCATGCCAATAGACTCAATGCTCAAAGCTAGTCAAGGGGCTCTCACCATGACCATGTCAACCAAGCCCCAAAGGGCCAAGATGACCCAAAACAGTCCCAATGTAGACCAAAACAAGGCTAGAACATGCATGGGATGAGACCAAAGCATGCTAAAAAGACGGGCACAAAACAAGAGGCATACAAGGCCCAAAAGGGGAAATGCACTACACCTACTACAACCAATCATGGCATGAATTAGGCCATGAAAAACAGAGTTATAATATGTCAAAATAAGCCCCAAAACCCAATGAGAAGGCATCCCAAAGACCTAATCATGGAGACATACACAATGGTCCAAACATGGAGCACAAAATAACAACTCTTTAAAGCATTGAAAGGATGGCAAATACAAGCATACGACCATGGAACATGGACTAAAATATTGTGACAAATGATGCCAAATCACTGAAATAGCCCAAGTGAAGCATGCTAATGACTCACATACCCAAAGCTAACAAGCTAGAATGCATGGTGGCTATACAAAGCATGGCAAACATGACCAAGACAACACCAAACAGAGTTTAAGCATGATAGAACAAGGCTAAAAACTTCTCAAAGTTAAGTCAAAACATGCAAGCATGATGGTCTAAATGCAAGATGCATATTATGCAAACATGCAAGATTACTCTACAAGTATGAGAAGCATACAAGATGCCATCAAACCAACATGGAATAGAGTTAAGGCAGGTCCTAAAAGCCACTAAAAAGTGCTGAAATAGTACCAAGACATGCTAAGAAAACATGCAAATGTTATAAGCCATTTATGCTAGAAAATGAGACACAAAGGGAGAGGGGTGTCCCTCCCCTATTCAAGACCTCAAAACCACTTCTCCACCACTGAAAATCCTCTGGATTTTAGTGGTGAGAAGGTTAAACTAGGATGATCCCAAAGCTCAAAAGTAAAGGCACAAAACAAGGCCAAACAAGGCCTAAGAGGGGGTAGACAACCCCCAACCCAAAAGTGACCTTAAGCAACAATAACAAGCATACAAAATTAGAACTTTTTGTAGTTTAGAGTCAAGCTTAAAACAAAATAGAAGTATGTGTAAAAGCTTAAGCCAAAATGGGGTATCAAAAGCAAGTTGACTCACCCTTGAAGAACACTTCAAGAACACCAACTCAAGCACCTCCTTCTGATCAAAACCAACTCAAAAACTTTGAAATCAACCCTTTATCACCCCAGTAACTAAGGGATAGTGTGCCACTAGGTGCTTTAGTGCAAAAATATGAACAAAACAACCCTTAGAACACTATTACACACACAACTATAGAGAGAGAGGACATATAGAGAGAGAGAGAGAGTGATATATCTCTTCTATATCAATTAGCTGAACCTCTGGAAAGGGAGAGGAGGCCCTCCTTTTATAGAAATCCAACTTAGCCAAGCTTCCAAGAGAAGCTAAACAAGGCTCAAATCCCTCCATAGTGTATGGAGGGTAGAGTCTGTGCTTACCAGCTGGCATAGTTGGCATGCACAATGCCTGAAAAAGGCAAAGAAAAGGCCTCAGCCAGAAAATATGGCCGATCAACCAAAACAGTGGCCGACCGACCAAACAAAGTGCCGACCGGCCAACACTCTTGGCCGATGGCAAGAAAAGGGGGCCGATGGCCTCAGGCCTTGGCCGGTGGGTTGAGAAAATGGCCAACACCATCTTCCCTCAGAAGCAAAAACACAGGTGTTTGGTTCACAACCAAGCACAAAACAAACAAGTTGAGAGATCTTGAGGCAAGGCGCGCGACCGAGACCTCCGAGAACTCAAAATGAACACGAACATGGATGATCATTGAGTGTTCAAACGATGACGTCCAAGTCTTGAGGACGATCAAAAATGCGGTGTCTATAGATCTGATGGCCCTTCTCGGGAGTAATAATGCCATGGCTCAAGTATATTATAAGTTCCCAGTACCGAAGGTTCCTTATGGAACTAACAAGCATGATAACACTACTGGATGTGCCATGTATGTTGAAGCATGAACTTTAATTTCTGTATGAAGTTGAACAAGAAAATGAATATAAATCTGTTTCTGTTATGAACTTTGGTTTTCGATTTTGTTATGGACATCATTCATTTAAACCCTTTACTCTGTTATTATTCACTGTACTTCCGCTCATTATTTATATCATGTATGTAGGTGAGCAGGCACATGACCAGGCTTAAGTTACTGCTTGGAGTTTTGGGCCAGCCAACCACTATGCCTCCTGGGGACGTTCCCTTTTGAAATGTTTAGTTTTGTAACCTTATTACATATGTTTTGCATATCTGTACATTGGGCTAAGTTCCCTTTTGGCATTATATATGTATTTGGGTGACGTATGACTAATGTATTTATGACGTCACATGTATATACATATTGTTTTGAAGTTTTCTGTCTCATATACGTTAAAACAGCTCTATGGACATTTTATATATTTGCTTCTGCAGCCCCTTATTATATATCATTCTGTTAAGAGGCCTTTGGTAATCCAAGGATTACTGACTGGTTACGACGCTAAACATATAGGGGCAGGTTTAGGTTGTGACAAAGTGGTACCAAAGCAAGCATTATACCGCACACATCAGTCCATGTGAGCTATAGGATGTCCTAGTGAGAGTTAGGGGCATTCCATCTGCATATGTGAGTGTGTATTAATTTCTGTGCATGAGAAAACTGTACCAGAACATGAACACATGAAATTAAAACGAATGAATTGGGTGTGAATGTTCTAAACACTGTGAAAACAACTATTTGCCTGTGTTTATTATTCTTTTGTTTACCTATAGCTAATGGAGAATGCAAGAAGTAATGATACAAGTGAATCCTCAGAGGCTCGCATGAGACGAATGGAACAAATGATTACCACTCTAACTGAAGCAGTAGCACAGCAACAAAGACAACAACCGATGCCTCCTCCGCCCCCTCTGGTCCAGGTTGAGTTGGATAATAATGACATCATCAATCTAACGCAGAAATTCATGAAGATGAAACCGCCAACTTTCTTGGGTGATATTGAACCGTTGAAAGCGGAGACATGACTAATTGAAATGGAGAAGTTATTTGAAGTGTTCCCCTGTACTAAGACTCAGAAGGTTTTATTGGCCACCTACACTCTTAAAGATGAAACTCGGAGATGGTGGTTATTGATCTAAAATAGCAATGGGAATATGACCTGGGCCCAATTCAATGAGATCTTCTACAACAAGTACTTTCCCTAATGCTTTAAAGACCAAAAAGTTTCTGAATTCCAAGAACTTAAGCAAGGGAAGATGTCCGTAGTTGAGTGCGAGGTTAAGTTCACCGAGTTGGCCAGATTCGCTCCTCATATGGTGGACACAGATTATAAGAAAGCACGAAATTTTGAGGGAGGACTAGATCTAGAAGTAAATAATCGAGTAGGCGTCTTGAAATTGCCTACTTATGTGGAAGTGCTTGATAGGGCATTGATAGTAGAGGCCATACTAGTAGCAAAGACACAAGCTACAACTCCAATAACTGAATGGAGAGGTAAAAGGGTCAGATTCAATTTCAAGAAGGGCCGATCATTTTCGAAGAAGCAAAATACTGGATTGTCAAGTAGCTCAAGCCAAAGCAGTGGGTCTATGCCAGTTTGTCCAAAATGTGGAAGGAAACATAGGGGCATGTGTAACCACATATCTGGTGCTTGTTTTCAATGTGACAAGATAGGCCACATGATTAGGGATTGCCTGATGAGACTCGATACGACTACTCGACCTGCTGCAAGTTCAGCCGTCTCTGCTCCTGCACCAAGAACCAACATGAGGGCCAATGCTAGAGAAGAAACATTGAGACAAGGCCGGGTTTTGCATTAGTACCTAAGATGTATAGAATACTGAGTTAGTGGTGTCAGGTATAATCTTTATCTATGCTCAGAATGCCTATGTGCTGATTGATTCTGGTTCTACGTGTTCATTTGTATCGCATGCTTTATATCAGAAATTAACTAGACTATTAGAACCTATGAACTGTTTATTATCTGTGTCTACACCGCCTGGGGGTTCTATGATATGTGCTTATGTTTATCTGGCATGTGATATCATGATTGGTGATATGACATTGTATGTTAATTTGTTGCCTCTCAGCATTGATCATTTTGATTGTATTCTGGGTATGGATTGGTTGACTAAGTACTGCGCAACCATTGACTGTCCGAGTAAATATGTTGTGTTTAGACCACTTGGTACGCCTGAGTTTGTTTTTACTAGAAATGGGTTAGTTCCTCCGCCATACTTGATTTCATTTATGAAAGCCAGGAAATTATTAAGAAAAGGCTGTCAGGGCTATTTGTTGTGTGTTGACTGTGTCTTTGGACAGTGTAAGTGTGGAAAATATTCCCGTGGTCTGTGAATTTTCTGATGTATTTCCCACGGACCTACCTGGGGAGTTAATTGATAGGGAACTTGAGTTCTCCATTGATGTAGTACCCGGGACACAACCAATTTTTAGAACCCTATACAGAATGTCCACCTCTGAATTGAAAGAATTGGAAACTCAATTTCAGGAATTGTTAGACAAGAAGTTTATTCACCCAAGCACTTCACCTTGGGGTGCTCCAGTGTTATTTTTCAAAAAGAAAGATTGGTCTTTGTGGCTATGTATTGACTACCGTGAATTAAACAAAGTAACTACCAAGAACAAGTACCCACCACCCGAATAAATAACCTGTTTGATCAACTTCAAGGAGCACAGGTGTTCTCTAAGATAGACCTTAGATCCAGATATCACCAGCTAAAGGTGAAAGCAGAAGACATTGAGGAAACCACTTTCCGAACTAGATACAGACATTATGAATTCTTAGTCATACCATTTGGGGTAACTAATGCACCTGCAACATTCATGGACTTAATGAATAGAGTGTTAAAACAATTCCTTGATGAGTTTATTGTTGTGTTCATCGATGGTATATTAATTTATTCTAAAAGCAGGGAAAAACATGAAAATCATCTGAGAATTGCTTTACAGACCCTAAGGGAAAACAAAATATGTCCCAAGACCACAATTCACCAAAAATAGTAAGACACCTCACATTTTTTTAATTCTTGTGAATGTTGCATATTCCTTTTTTGGTCATCCCTAGACAATTCATACATACTATTTTGTTACTTGTTCTCCAAACCTTCCATAGAAAAACTCTATAAATAACCCCCTTGTTAATTTCTTCATTCATTCCTCAATAAATTGAATCTTGCAACACAAAAAAAATAAAAAAAGAATCATTCCGATCTTCTTACATTACATTACGACAATAACTCAATGGACAAACAATACTTAAGTGGAGTGGGCGAGGCCACACCTAGGAGAGAGAAGAAAGTTTTACAGACTGATAGACCCCCGGCTCGAAGGCCACTTCTCGATAAAAGGTGCCCAAAAAGCCGCACAGTTGGCTGCTCGCTGCCTTAGCCGGGACCCAAAAGCCCGACCTCTGATGAGTGAAGTTGTCGAAGCGTTAAAGCCTCTGCCAAACCTCAAGGACATGGCCAGCTCATCATATTACTTCCAGACAATGCAGGCTGACCGTTCAAGTCCCAATGCTAGAAACGGTTTAAGAACGCATGTTGGGTCGTTTTCGAGGAACGGGCAGCAACATCCGAGGAGATTACTCCACACTAGAAGTACCTTAAATTTGTGTAAACTGTAGAAATTTAATGTATAAAGAGAAATAGAGAATTGTATTATTGATTGATATTTATGTTATGGTTACAATGATTCCTATATATAGGAGAGGGTGAGTGTGTAGTAGGTAATGAGTAGGTGAAGTGGAGGTGGTAGTGGTGTAGTGGGTTAGGTTTAGTGGAGTAGGTGAGGTGGTAGTGGTGTAGTGGGTTAGGTTTAGTGGAGTAGGTTTAAGTGGGTGAAGTAGGTGGAGAGTATGTGGATTTAGTGGGTTAGGTTTAGTGGAGTAGGTTTAAGTGGGTGAAGTAGGTGGAGAGTATGTGGATTTAGTGGGTTAGGTTTAGTGGAGTAGGTTTAAGTGGGTGAAGTAGGTGGAGAGTATGTGGATTTAGTGGGTTAGGTTTAGTGGAGTAGGTTTAAGTGGGTGAAGTAGGTGGAGAGTATGTGGATTTAGTGGGTTAGGTTTAGTGGAGTAGGTGATGTGGTAGTGGTGTAGTGGGTTAGGTTTAGTGGAGTAGGTTTAAGTGGGTGAAGTAGGTGGAGAGTAGGTGGATTTTAACAAATTACTTTTATTTTAAGCTCTATGTTTGTAGTGTTTATACTTACAGCTTCGTGGGCACATTTACCATTGAACTCGCTTTGTGTGTATTAGAAACTAGCTTATAGTTCGTTTAGAGACGTTATCTAGCTTAACATATAACTCACTCGTGATTCCAGATCTGCCATTTGACTTTACTTTCTTTGCAATACAACACATGTATTTGCTGCATCAGATAGGCCAACTGTCATTTATAGTAGTAACAAGAAATTACTCTACAGCAATTTAAATTTGAAAGAGGTCAGTCATATGTGCCTTTGCAACTCTGCTGCTTTTCCGGACAGGTAAATTTGGCTCTCTCTCTTAATTTTAAGTTTTTGTCCCCCCTCATCATCGTCAATTGAAATGTTGGAAATTGATTCTTTTGTATTTTTGCTTAAACACACTTCTTGAATGGGAAAGGGAGAAATCTTTAATTGTTATTATAGTCCATGCTTCTATAGGTAATTCTATGCCACTTCTTGGTAATTTTAGCTCATCAGTTTGTTTTGGTCAAAGTCATCACTCCTACCGTTGAACTCTCTCTCTCCATTGTTGTAGTTTTCTGTCATTAAAAGACCTGCACAAGGCCATCTTGGGGTCAGTTTCTCAGCAACAGCAACAATTGAGATGCATGGAGGAACATGTCTCTTCATTTCTTATTAGTAAATATGACTTATGAACTGAAAGCTTGTCTCTTTCATATGTTAAACTTGTAAGTTAATTTTGTTAATCTTACATCATTTTCTCATACTGATGTGGATCTTATTTGGTTGATTCATAAACTAAATTTAGGGATGATGTTTTAGGGGTCTAAAGCATTTTCTGGGATTGAAGTATATTGAGTTTGTTTGTTTTTTTCTTTGCTGTTAAACCGGGAGAGGCTGCTAGAGAAGAGAAGCAGGCAATCGAAAAAATTGCGGCAATATTAGCATCTCTTACAGCTAAGAAAACAGCTATGGTGAGTCTTTTTTTAACTACATTTCTTGCCAAAATTAATAGGTAGAATTGTTTGCTTGACATGTAAGAACCATGTGAGCTATAGAGGAAATTGTTAACATGGCAGCAGTGATTAGTGTCAAATTTCACCTCATGTATTCTAACCAGTCTGTAGTGAATGAAGATTATTAGTAAATGCAACATGGGTTTCTAAATCAAAATGGGTTTTATGTGATTTGGGTGAGGCATTCAAGATTACGTTCTTTTTTTTTTCTTTTTTTTTTTCTGTAAAAAATTAAGTTATATTTCGTTAGGCTTCTTTAGCTTTCAAGGAGTTTTTTTTCCTGAGAAAAGTTCTGTATGGAATGTATAATGGTTTAAGGTAACATTGCAAAAGCAGTTGCTTTTATGGGCATTTGAAAGCATTTCAAATTACATTACAGATGGATAGGGTTTTTATTTATTTATTTATTTATATTAAAAAAAGTATTTCTAGCACCCTGAGTATTGCATGACCTAAGGCTTTGGACTAAAGTAGCAAGTTATTCATTACATTTGAGTGCATTTAGTAATTCTGCCACGTAATTGTCTTCGTTTGAATTTGCAGCACAAATATGGTCAATTACTCTGGGCAGCAGTGGGAAAAGCCAGCGTTATTAAATAGTGTAATTCTGCACAGGTTGATCAGCGTACTAGTACAACTCCGAAGTTGAAGATAATAGCAGTGCCTAGATTGTCATCCATCAAGGAGATGAGAACACCTGCAGTTGGAGATCTTATGGCGAATTTTACTAGACCAAATTTGGGCTGTACTGAAAGCAAGATCCAACAACATCAACAAGGGCCGTGTCTCGGAGCATCACCTAACAATAGAACTCCTTTTGCAGATGTCAATTTCTCTTAATGAGTTCCTTGATAAAAATATTTAGACAAATAGAAAACTTGAGCAGCTTCATCTGTTGTATGTTATTGGATGAGTCTTAAATTCGAAAGTGTATTAGTATAAAGTTTGCCAATTCGGAAAGCTGAGGTTGGCTTTATGTTTAGTCCAAAATGTATCTTATAAACTACTGCGCCTGAGGGCTGTCTCTTGTAAATTTGTAAATCTTATAAAAATTATAAATGATTTTCAATTATTTTTGTGCAAATTTATTGTTGCCAAAACGTAAAGCTTTCTTGACAAACAATTTGTCGATAAATGTGTTGTCAATAGTTTATTTTTGCCGACTCATATTGTGTCGCTAGAAGTGTATTTTTTGACAATGCAAATTTGTCGTCGTCAAAAGTAAAGTTTTTTCGACAAACAAATCATCGGCAAATGTCAACATTTACTGGCATAAATGTGTCGCCAAAAGTTTACTTTTTCCGACACAATTTTTTGTCGGGAAAAGTGCCACACAATCATCATGTTTGAACTATTTTTATCGATGCAAGGTAAATTGCTGACAATGGATGAAGGCTTTTACCGACGACTATGTTTGTCGCTAAAGACTTAACTTTTACCAACACAATAATAATTCCGTCGGCAAAAAGTTTTGCCGACTCACTTTTACTCACGGGTTGCCGACGTAGCTTTGTGTATCGGCGAAACATTTTAACGGCGATTTTTTCCTTTTAGCAACATTTTTTGTTACGTTGCGAAAAATGTAGGGCTTGTTTGGTTTATATTTGAAAAACATGTTTTGAGATAAAAAGTACGAAAATTTGTTTGGTTTGGTTTTTTTTCAAAAGATGTTTTGAAAAATTATTTTGAGAAAGAGTTTTGGAAAAAGTGATTGATTTGATGTGTATGAGAGAGATTTGTTTGGAAAACTTGTAAACCAAACAAGTTTTGGAAAAAAAATTTGAGAAAATTTGTTTGGTTTGATTACTTTTGAAAACTTATTTGTAGAGAATTTATCCTAAAATTTTTTGAGAAACACAAACCAAACAAGGTCGTAATTTCTTGTATTATTGCATTTTAGCCGTGAAAGTAAATAATTAGGATCTGTTTGGGAACTATTTCGTTTTTAGTTTTTAGTTTTTAGTTTATATTTACAAAAATTTTAAAAACGGTTGTAGAAACTTGTTTGATAATTTTTTTGGTTTATAAATGGTTGTCCCAGTTTGTAAATTTAAGGAAAAAAACGTAAACTCATACTCAAAAAATGAGTTTACGTTGGTTTTTAAATAAAAATTTAAAAATTTGACTAACAAAATTTTTTATTTCAATTAATTCTTTTTTTCAAACAATTTTTTTTTCAATGATTTTTTTTCAAATACTTTTATTTCAATTAATTTTTTTTTTCAAATAATTTTTTTTTCAATTAATTTTTTTATTCAATTATAATGTGTATGGTCACATTGTCATAATAATAAAAAATAAATATACATATTTTAGGATTGAATAAACATATTTTTTAGTTTATCTTTTTAAAATTTTTCAAACATTTTGTTCAAACCAAACGCATTTGTAATTTACGTTTTTCTAAAAATAAACAAAAACCACTTTATAAATTTTTTGTAAACATAAACAAAAAATGTAAACGTTACCAAACGCAAAAAATTTATAAAGTGGTTTTTGTTTATTTTTAGAAAAACGTAAATTACAAATGCGTTTGTTTTGAACAAAATGTTTGAAATTTTTTAAAAATATAAACTAAAAAATATGTTTGTTCAATCCTAAATATGTATATTTGTTTTTTATTACTTATGACAATGCGATCATACACATTATAATTGAAAAAAAAAAATTGTTTGAAAAAAAAAATTAATTGAAATAAAAAATTTTGTTAGTCAAATTTTTATTTAAAAACCAACGTAAACTCATTTTTTGAGTATGAGTTTGTTTTTTCCTTAAATTTACAAACTGAGACAACCATTTATATACCAAAAAAATTATCAAACAAATTTCTATGACCGTTTTTAAAATTTTTGTAAATATAAACTAAAAACTAAAAATGAAATAGTTCCCAAACATATCCTAATTATTTACTTTCGTGGCTAAAATGCAATAATACAAGAAATTACATTTTTCGCAACGCAACAAAATATGTTGCTAAAAGAGAAAAAACGTCGTTAAAATGTTTCGCCGACACACAAAGCTACGTCGGCAACCCGTGAGTAAAAGTGAGTCGGCAAAACTTTTTGCCGACAAAATTATCATTGTGTTGGTAAAAGTAAAGTCTTTAGCGACAAACATAGTCATCGGTAAAAGCCTTCATCTATCGTCCGCAATTTACCTTGCGTCGGTAAAAGTAGTTCAAACATGATAATTGTGTGACACTTTTCCCGACACAAATTTGTGTTGGCAAAAAAAAACTTTTGGCAACACATTTATACGAGTAAATGTTGACATTTGTCGACGATTTGTTTGTCGATAAAACTTTACTTTTGGCAACAACAAATTTGCATTGCCAAAAAATACACTTCTAGCGACACAATATGAGTCGGAAAAAGTAAACTATTAACAACACATTTACCAACAAATTGCTTGTTGAGAAAGCTTTACTTTTTGGCAACAATAAATTTGCACAAAAATAATTGAAAATCATTTATAATTTTTATAAGATTTACAGATTTACAAGAGACATCCCTCAAGCACAGTAGTTTATAACAGACATTTTGGACTAAACATAAAGCCAACCTCAGCTTTCCAAATTGCCAAACTTTATACTAATATACTTTTGAATTTAAGACTCATCCAATAACATACAACAGCTGCTCGAGTTTTCCATTTGTCTAAATATTCTTATCAAGGAGCTCATTAAGAGAAATTGACATCTGCAAAAGGAGTTCTATTATTAGGTGATGCTCCCAGACACGGCCCTTGTTGATGTTGTTGGATCTTGCTTTCAGTACAGCCCAAATTTGGTCTGGTAAAATTCTCCATAAGATCTCCAACTGCAGGTGTTCTCATCTCCTTGATGCATGCCAATCTAGGCGCTACTATTATCTTCAACTTCGGAGTTGTACTAGTATGCTGATCAACCTGTGTAGAATTACACTATTTAATAACGCTGCCTTTTCCCACTGCTGCCCAAAGTAATTGACCATATTTGTGCTGCAAATTCAAACGAAGACAATTACGTGACAGAATTACTAAATGCACTCAAATGTAATGAATAACTTGCAACTTTAGTCCAAAGCCTTAGGTCATGCAATACTCAGGGTGCTAGAAATACTTTTTTTTATATAAATAAAAAAATAAAAATCCTATCCATCTGTAATGTAATTTGAAATGTTTTCAAATGCCCATAAAAGCAACTGCTTTTGCAATGTTACCATAAACCATTATACATTCCATACAGAACTTTTCTCGGGAAAAAAAACTCCTTGAAAGCTAAAGAAGCCTAACGAAATATAACTTAATTTTTTACAGAAAAAAAAAAAGAAAAAAAAAAGAACGTAATCTTGAATGCCTCACCCAAATCACATAAAACCCATTTTGATTTAGAAACCCATGTTGCATTTACTAATAATCTTCATTCACTACAGACTGGTTAGAATACATGAGGTGAAATTTGACACTAATCACTGCTGCCATGTTAACAATTTCCTCTATAGCTCACATGGTTCTTACATGTCAAGCAAACAATTCTACCTACTAATTTTGGCAAGAAATGTAGTTAAAAAAAGTTATAAAAAGACTCACACATGCTGTTTTCTTAGCTGTAAGAGATGCTAATGTTGCCGCAATTTTTTCCATTGCCTGCTTCTCTCTCTAGCAGCCTCTTCCTGATTTAGCAGCAAAGAAAAAAACAACAACTCAATATACTTCAATCCAGAAAATGCTTTAAGACCCCTAAAACATCATCCCTAAATTTAGTTTAATGATCAACCAAATAAGATCCACATCAGTATGAGAAAATGATGTAAGATTAACAAAATTAACATACAAGTTTAACAATATGAAAGAGACATAAGCTTTCAGTTCATACGTCATATTTACTAGCAAGAAATGAGAGACATGTTCCTCCATGCATCTCAATTGTTGCTGTTGCTGAGAAACTGACCCCAAGATGGTCTTGTGCAGGTCTTTCGATGACAGAAAACCACAACAATGGAGAGAGAGAGTTCAACGGTAGGAGTGATGACTTTGACCAAAACAAACTGATGAGCTAAAATTACCAAGAAGTGGCATAGAATTTACCTATAAAAGCATGGACTATATAACAATTAAAGATTTCTCCTTTCCCATTCAAGAGTGTGCAAAAAATACAAAAGAATCAAGTTCCAACATTTCAATTGACGATGATGAGGGGGAAAAAAACTTAAAATTAAGAGAGAGCCAAATTACCTGTCCAGAAAAGCAGCGGAGTTGAAAAGGCACATATCACTGACCTCTTTCAAATTTAAATTGCTGTAAGAGTAATTTCTTGTTACTGCTATAAATGACAGTTGGCCTATCTGATGCAGCAAATACAAGTGTTGTATTGCAAAGAAACTAAAGTCAAATGGCAGATCTGGAATCAAGAGTGAGTTATATGTTAAGCTAGATAACGTCTCTAAACGAACTATATGCTAGTTTCTAATACACACAAAGAGAGTTCAATGGTAAATGTGCCCACGAAGCTGAAAGTATAAACACTAGAACATAGAGCTTGAAATAAAGTATTTAATTTTAGTCAATATTTCCATTGACGAGATTTAACTTTTTGTCTCCAAAATGAAGAGAGTGCTGCCACTGTACATGTCAAGTCCAGTTTGAAGAATTTTAATGTCACACCCAAGTAACATACTGGCCAAATAAATTGAACAGAGTGGGTATACCAAGTTACCAACCATGGCCCAAAAGCTTAAGCCCAAGTAATATACCAATTAAAGGTTTCATATTATAAAGAGGAAGAAGAAGAAGAAGCGACAGAAGAAAGCCGAAAAGAAAGAAAACGGTATGCCGATGTATCTTTCCAAAAAGATAGTTGGGCAACAATCCCCCACTCGTTAATCTTCAAAACGACAATGACTGAAAGCGTATTAAAAAAATTCAACAGAAGACGAGGCTCTGTGAAACACATCCAGTGCAACAAAAACAATCGGGTTAAGGTTTGAGATTATGTTTGGAAGCAAAGATCAACACTGAACAGCTACATTTTAAAAGTTAAAAGTAAAAAGCTTACCACCTTCAATAACAGTAGATCCACTATTTTTGACGAGTTCAGAATTTTATGAACCTTCAACCACTTGAAAAGTAGAAAAATATTTTATCACGGTCACAGAGAGTTCAATAGGCTTTGCTTATAAACTGTATTTTTGTCATAATTTACTTCTTTGCCATAATTTTTGTGTGATATTCTAAGAGCATACAACTCACATCTTATTATAAAATTGAAAAGAAACAAAGGTACAAGTAATGCAAACAAGCTGATAATTCATAATTCAAAATCAATGACTACCTCCTGGCAGCAAATGTAAGAATCCGTTGCCGAGACCGACCCTCCCTATCAGTGCCAGTCACACTATTGATCATTCCATGGAAGCATTGTTCTGGTCTACATGTTGCTGTTGTTGTGTACTCTCTCGACTGGAACAATTCAATGCATGAAATGAAATGATAAGCATTTGTTTATGAGATAGCCACATTGACTAAAAAGCACGGGCACGAACACAAACACTGATAACACTACTTTAACATGGAAAAAACACCCAGATTTTACGTCCCAAGAACTAAGTATGAACAAGCATATATGAGGGGGAAAAATAAGTATGAACTGAACAGGGTCATATTAAGGACACAAGAAGTGAAACAGGATGAAATGCCCAGCCTTATGATCATTCTCTTCTTTTCTTTTCCTTTTTTCATATCCCACCCACTTGTTTTCAAATTAGTTCATCACTCTACCAAACCACCTTTGCAGAATTATAATAAATCCCAAAACATGTCTGTGGTGTGTCCAGAAATAAGACATGTGTCCTCGACGTGTCCTCCACATGTCCACTAAAAAAATTAATATAAATGCCACATGCAATGTCCGACACATATCTGCGTGGTGTCTTGTCCGACATGTGTTGCACACTACTACGGCAACAAAAATGGAGTGTTTTCATAGCATATAGAATCAGAGCACACTATAGTGGGTTATTTTTAATATAAATTATAGACGACAGAAAACACCTCTTCAAAGCTATTTGCGAGTGTATATGTTAGGATATATACATGAGTATTACAATACATGAATGAGACTATTACTGAACAAGGTAATATAAATATTGCAACAAAAGAAAAAAAGCAACTTGACAGAATACTAATGTTTCGCAAATCAATGCGACTTGAGTTTTTACTTTCTTGACACCAAAATAAATTTTCAAGGAAAAATAAATCCAAGTCAGCAGGAAAAACAGATTAATGCAGATGAAACAAAGGCAGAGCATCTTAGTTGTAGAAAGCCAAGAGAATAATCATAATGCAGGACATTTCATCTTTGATGAGAAAGTGCGGAGTGTTATAGGCGGGGTCCCAAGGGACACTTTTGTTCCTATCTGCCAACTCCCCAGTGCTCATGTTAAATAAAAAGTGATGACATCTCCAAGGGCACATAGCAAATAAGATATCTGAAAAGAAATCAACATGGGGGCATGAAGTAAGTATAAACTGCGTAGATATATTTTACAATTAACATGTTAACGAAAAGTGGCACACGCTCATTCCAAACGATCCCAGCTTCATTTTTCAGAATCTAAATGCCTAATTGGTCACATTATTATGGTTCAAAAACAATGCTAAAACAAAAGGGATCAAAGATCCAAAAATTTAAGTGGTTTTAATTGGAAGACCGAGTCTAGAACGTGCGCCATTTTGATATATTGCAGTTGTTAGAGCATTCTGAATCTATAATAGAAAATCCTACATTCCTATCACACACAATCTGCATGCATGCAAATCAAGATAATACAGAACACAAAGGCCCATAAAGCTTACGAATAAACATACCCCTTCAAACGAACATAAAAGAACAGAGCGTGGTATATCAATCTCTCCCCAAATTTTCTTCGTAATGAGATTCAAGTCAGGTAAGAAAATATTCTCTAACACATATCAGTCCACATTCCCACGCAGCTAGCTGACTGCAGTTTGGGATTTTCACCAATGGATTTATATCAAGGCATGATATATCATACTCTCAATTGTGCGATGTTTCACTTCTGTCGATATTCCCATCACCAATTTCTAGGTACACTAAATGACCACCATCAGTAGCCAAGAAATCCTATTAGAGAAAACTTATAATGAGAGGTCAAAGCTTGAACTACACTATATTGGATAAGAGAAACTAATCATAAAGACAAATGCTATGTCAACAATATAAAAAGGATTCACTGTAGAGATCACAATCACAAATTCATGCTCTTGAAAACATTTAACATGTTCAAAGCGTAGTCAAGCTAATAAGCCTCAGCTGCAACCACCACAGAATATAAGTACAGAGGAATAAAAACGTATAGACTATATGGAATTACACAGATGAGACCATCTCTGGAAAGTACACAAAAATGCATTCGAAACCTCACATCCCTCCATGAGTAATGTTAGAATTACAATAAACCTACCACCACTACCACCTCACCTACTCCACTAAACCTAACCCACTACACCACTACCACCTCCACTTCACCTACTCTCCACTACTCCCA